GAATTCAGATAAGGCTGTAATTCATTCCCTTGTTTATACCATTTGGTTTGTGTGTTTTTATTTGTTATTTGTTTTACTTTGGCTTGTCTTACATGATTTTGTTGGAGGGGGAGGCAGAACTTCAATTTTTTGACCACTGCAAATTTCCAGTTTTTAGACCATGTCCTGGGTCTAACGAATATACTGAAGAAAACCATTTTTCAAGGTCTGTGTAGAAAAGAGTTACTTTAAATTGCCCTAAAAGTTAATTTACCTTTCTTCACTGAAGCGACGACCAATCTTTACTTTACACTTGTCCCGGGGGAGGCATGCTGCTAGTAGAGGAACTGTCCGCAACACTTTGTTTTCCTTTAATTAAAAAATTAATTACAACATAGATTTTTGCTTAAACACTTTTAAATCTTTTATGATGAAAATCTGATTCATAACTTTACATATAACTTTCACGAGTCTTTTACTAAAGATCACAGTTTAATAAAAAGAGGTAAGTTTCTCTGATTTATCACACTAAGCATAACACAAGCATACTTTTTTATTCTATTTGGATATGTTTATAGGTTTAGTGATCAAACAATATAATATCAATCTATATAATGATTAGGATTATAAAAATGTAAATTTGTGTTTAACTAAACTGAATCATTTATTCTGACAAAATTTTTTTTATTTCAACAGTAATCACATTTCTGTATTACATCAACTTGAAGATAATTGCTTAGATCTTTACGCACAGAAAGCAAGGTAGTGTTCAAAAAACAAAACAATGGGGCATATCAAAGGGACACAGAAGCCAATCTTATCAATGGCTAAAATGGAACCAATTTCAGAAACACCATAAATAACATAGTATTGGGTTATAACCCCAACTGTAAAATAGAGTCTAAAGTGATATGAATGAATAAATAAATAAATGAGGCAGAAGGAACAAATCTTCCTTACTAAAGAATTCTAAGTGATAAATGTAAATAAATACTTCCCACTCCAGAAGGTGGAGCTTAATCTCTCCCTCCCACCAGAGTGTTTTATGGCCTTGCTTGCAAAGAATACAGTACGGAAAGAGAACAAAATAATAACTTTAGTGTGGAGAAATCTGGTGACCATTTCTGAAAATTCCATTAACTTGACTATCATCAGTGGTTTTTTCAACATCCTAGTTTCCAACATTGAAAACCACCTTTCTTGCTGCCACAAGAATTCTATCCTTAATCCTGTGGAGCCAGGTGATTAGCTACTCTGACTTAGGTGGTTTTAGGACATTTTTTCAGTGTTTCACATAACGTTCTTCCCTCCTTACCACCACTATGAGACTTTGACACAGACGTAATCATTTTCCCAACTTTTATCAAAGTAATAAATGTATATATGTGAAATTAAACAGTGACAAAAGATTTAAAATGCCACACCTATTCCCAGATATGCTCCCCAGTACCACTTCCCAGAGGCAATCACTTTAACTCCTTTAGCTATTTTTTTCTGGTAGTTATCTCCATACGTCCATATAATATGTGCTTTGCTATTTCTTGATTTATCAATTTTAGTTATTATCTAAAAACTACCAATTAGCATCATAACAGCTTACATTAATGTAAATAT